TTTAGACCAGCTAGTTCAGAAATAACAAGGAGTTTGAACTCTTTGTAGTCTAAGTGACCACAAACATGGGTGACAATGTTTTGCTTTGCTTTGCATCAAATGGAACAGTTGTCCCTTTATTTCTGTCCTTTCAAAATAAATTGATAAAAATATGTACCAGAGAGGCAACAACAAGACAACCCCAAGAAAGGAAATGGTTTCACAGGCGTTGGTCACAGACCACAGCTTTCTGCTTATCCTTCCTGATCTTTTCTCTAGTTTTGCTTTTAGCTGGTGTCCTTTTTCCCTGCTGGTAGCATGAGATAGCACGTGTTTCGCATTTAGGTTGTACGCCGCTGCAAGAAGGTTGTTGTTGTGTCTCCAAACATGATCTCGAGGGTGTGGAGGAGATACCAGGAGATGGGTTGTTACACAAGCTAGACAAGGCCACAGGAGTACATCCACCCAGAAGCAGGGCTGGCATTTGCTCCGTTGTGCAATGAGGAGCGTGACAGTGGAAGTATCTAACAAAATGACCTCCAGCATGTTTCTGGCACTTGTTCCATGAGGGTGGCCTGACACACTCTAGTGGCACCTTTGCTAATGGAAGTTACAAATATAACTATAGTTCTGGGAATTCACAGATAACTGCCAATGGCAGGAAACTACGTAGATGGGTCTCCTCGTGATCTGCGCAGGTCCGGAAATAAAATCGCGTGCATGATGTGTACGCTACTGAGGCGTGTATACTATAAATACTACGTGGTAGCTTACATCTGGTCTCTGGGAATCTTCTCACACTGAGACGTTTTTAGCCGCCAGCAGGTCTGACAGTCATCCTGGAATTCAGAGAATCATAGTTACCTTTGTAACTTCTGCTCTGATTCATTCCCCCCTGTCTGCCAGTGGGAGTAAACAATGCAGATGACTTGTACCAGTACTGTCACAAGGAACAACTTCCTGGTCAGCCAGCAGCAGAACAGCTGAAGCTAATGTGGGCTCTGAGGCCACATTAAGCTAGTAGAACCTAGCAAATGTGAAAGACGCTGCCCAGGATGCCACTGTTCACCAAGTAAAACACCACTCATTGCCACCCAGTGTGGCCACACCGCTGATACAGTGGCAACTAACACCAGAATGGACCGGTGTATTTGCTGCTATATGCACCTGTTTTACTGAGTTCCTCCTGTTTCCTCCTTCCCATTATAACATATAGAGAGCTGCTCTAATCATCTGTATGGATGCCTTCCATACTGCACTGGAACCATGAAATTATTCATTAAAATTCACAACAAATGTATTAAATAGTGAAACAATTAAATGTGTCATTAAATATATACAATAGGAATTAAATAATTTTTAAAAAAGTTTAAATGAAATAAATTAAATGTATGTATTTCGTTAATTAGTTAATTCCAATTTAAATTTATTAACACATTTAATAAATTATTTAATGATGTATTTATTTAACACATTTTAGCACTCTAGGCCCTCCGCAGCCTTAATGCTGGTTACTTAAATAAAAATTTCTTGTGTCCCGAGTCAAAAATCTACATGTGTCTGCCTCTCCTGTCCTCACAGGTTAATGGCACACCAGTATCCGTACCATTTGTAACAGGGCTGATGACGCGCCTGTCCACATCTGAGGGTTTCATTGTCATCGACACACCCCAGGACATCCAGGTTCGCTACAACCACTTTAACACCCTTAGCATCACAATGGGCCAGCGGCTCCAGAACAAGGTGTGCGGCCTTTGTGGGAATTTCAATGGGGACCCTAATGATGACTACATCACCTCAAGGGGCAAGCCGGCTGTCAGCGCCCTGGAGCTGGCACAGAGCTGGAAGACCAACGGCATGCAGAACAGGTAGATGAGGCTCACAAATGGGGAGGAATTTACGGTCCATATAACCAGTTCTTGTAAAAACCTTTGGCTGTTATCCCCAAAATATAAAAGGAAAAGTTAAGGTTACTTAATCCATAAGCCATGCGTCTGCAAGCATGTGCATGTCTTAAACCCTCGATATTAACTGGCTGTTGCTCAAACATATCACTTATGCAAATCATTTATACAGATAATAGCAAACGGAGCAATTCTAACAGGGCATTTGCTCCTTCTTTGCTCGCGTCCTAATACCTTTGACAGTTGGATTTTGGTCTTTCTCCTCTAGTTGTGATGAGACCCAGTATGTGGCTTTGGCTCAGTCCTGCGACAACTCGGCCATCCTGGCTCTGCAGAGTGAAGATGCCTGTCAGAAGCTCACCCAGCTCAAAGGCTTCTTCCAGCCATGCCACGGCCTGCT